GTTTTTCATGGCAAACTTACAGTAAACACTTAAGTTGACAGAAATCCACTCAAGATGGAAATCGATGAGGCAACAGTTGCATATTTGCCCCATAGACTCCAACTGTAAATGTGTAAACATCAACATTTCATTCCTTTTTATGTACCGGGAAAGCCCACACGCTGATGTCTGACTCACCTAAGAATATAAAAGCATTCTGTATCACAGATAAAATCTGAGGCTTCAAGCTTCTGTCATAGAGAAAGACCACAGAAACCACTGCAGTAACTTACTCTTTTGACTGGATGCCATTGGCTCTGACCGCAGGGTAGCGACTGAGCCCTCGGCGCTCCTCAACTGTGATTGGTCCTCCAAACTGGTCCGTGATGACCCCAGCATGCACCGCTGATTTACACAAAACTGATGTCTGAAACAGAAAGTACAGACAGCACTCAGTCACAACAATGAAGGGACAGACAGAGAGAGGACAGATTGGCCTGTAAGACATAACGTGTGTTTTTACTCATACACAATCTTAAGTGTTTTGTTTTGTTTTTGGTGTCACCTTTTATGTTTATTTAAAACATAAACATACATAAAACATAGCTTTTATTTTGTTGATTTTTTTTACTTGGACTGATATGGCGATTAAATTAAGCTGACATACATGTATAAAAATCATAAATTATATATATATATTACATATAATTAAATATCACGTATATGTGTAAAATTATACACACTGCAGGTCAAAAGATAAATTATGATTTTTTTTTTAATTGTTGTTGAAAGAAGTCTCTTATATGCACCAAGGCTGCATTTATTTAGAAAAAAAAAACAGTAATATTGTGAAATATTTGTAATATATGTTTGAAATATTATTGCAATTTAAAAATGTAAACACACTTTTCTATTTTAATTACTTAAAAATGTAATTTGTTCCTGTTATTAATTTATTATGTATAATAAATATAAATAAGTATACACATAAATATGAGAGCACCTGGAGATTTGATTTGGTGCTCACACTGTGACCCATAAATTATAAATATATATATATATACACATTTTAGGGGTGCAACGGTTCAACTTACTCACGGTTTGGTTTTTATCACGGTTTTAGAGTCACGGTTTCGGTATGTGCTATGTTTAGGGAAAAAACTATATTGTCAAATAAAAATAAAGAAAATAAGAACAAATAATCTAACTACAAGCAACAGCACAAATAAATACAAAAGAGCAAAGATACAAATAAAATAAACAGTGCTTTTCAGGTTTTTTAGGTAGGTCTAACATTAGTTTTTAGGTACAGAAATTGAATAAAGTAATCAAATGTAAAATACCATTGCATATTTGACTGTATAAATAAAGATTAATCCTTATTAAAGTTACAAAAGTTATTCAATCAAGAGCAGTGAGTGATTTCCGTGTTGTTGCTGTTTGATTAACAAAAGTGAGAAAAACAGAAAGTGCTGTCACTTTAAGAGAACGCACTGATCCAGTGCACTGATACTGTATGTTCAGCCGACTATGTCTGCTAGGATACTCACCAAGACGGGCATTTTGACATAATTTTTGTGTGAATTTGTCCATTCAAGCACAATACTTCAAAGAGAGCTTAATATTTGCGCACGTTCTGAGACATATATGTGTCACCCGAAGTTCACGCGCTTCGGATGAGTAACCACACAGATCTTTTCACTTCTGGCTCTTTAATATTTAAATTGGCAAGGCTTAAATGAGTTTAGTTTAAACACAGATACACTCTTAAAAATAAAGGTGCTTCAAAAGGTTCTTCAAGCGATGCCATAGAAGAACCATTTTTGGTTCCACAAAGAACTATTCAGTCAAAGGTTCTTTAAAGAACCATCTCTTTCTTACCTTTTTGTAATCTGAAGAACCTTCTTTCGCCCCAAAGAACCTTTTGTGAAACAGAAAGGTTCTTCAGATGTTAAAGGTACTTTATGGAACCTTTTAGACAAAAAGGTTCTTCTATGGCATCGTGAAGCACCTTTATTTTTAAGTGTAGCAACGTGTGCTGTTCAGGTCTCACCTGCGCTATCAACACGTGATGACGGCATAAATGACAGTTATTCCAGCATACAGCACTTGCATTGAACAAAGAGTGACTGGTTTGTCCAAGCATAGTTGTTTTTTTTCTTGTTGTAATGTATTGCGAAGGCAGAATTTGTATCCATTAACAGAAACATGCATTAGGTGAACTCTAACAAACCATATTACAGATGCATTGTTAGATTTAAGTTGAACCGCGGTCCTAGTGCATGCCGAACCGTGTGTGGAGAACGGTAGGGTTCGATTTTGAACCGAGAACCGTTACACCTCTAATATAAATATATATATATACACACTGTATATAAATAGTACTATTGGACTTTATTTAGTCTATTTTTAAAATAAAATAATAAACAACATAATAAATAAAGTGTGATAATATTATATTTTAAAATACAAAATTAGCATTAAATTAAAATACAATTATTTAATAGTAAAGTTTTTTTTTTACTCAATTTTTACTTTTTAAAACTTAAAAATCAGCAAGCGGGTTGCCATCAGGTAAGTATATCCGCTTCCGGGTTTAGCGCTGCTGAGTGAAGTGCATCAGTGGAAGTCACTGCTTTATGTTTTGCTCTGAAACCGACAGCGCAAAGCCTAGATTTATGCAGTCAAATCTTATACAGTATTACAATCAGTTGATCTAAAACGGTGATTGTGCATTAATTAACAGCTCATGTTTGTATGCAAATGAGCGGTATGAACTTATTTAACCAGCAATTTTTACATTTTTAATAAAATATGCACCACTTACATGCACCCCTATATATATATATATTAATTTAAAACTTCAGACTGAGGAGGGCTTTATAATTTCATTCTGAGACAACAATTACAGTAATTGTAGCAGCCAATAGAAATGCTTAACATTCCTCAGCTACCACTGCTAATGCTAGTACGTTGTCACAGAAAATGTCTTCGCATGAATTACCTTTCTAAAGGCTCTTTTACTTAACAGGCAAGGCCAGATTTGAACACTGTGCTCTTCTGATTTAAATCACATTATGAAAATTTGAATGTGTATTGAGCAACACTGAACTTTGACCCTGACAGCACATGCATGTTGTCTAAATGCGGATGTTTCTTATCTGGAATATGCTATTTTTCACTTACTCATCTGCAATATAACAAAAACTTGCTTCCTTTTTTTCCAGAAATGACCAAAATTGATTGTTATTTAAATGAATGATCAGTTCAACAACTGATCTTTAAAGTTACTACCACAAAACATGTTGAAATCTTTAAATACCATGTGCATAGTTCATTGCCTCATAATAAACATTAACCACACAGTTTTTACAACATTTAAATACTTAAAAGACCTTTTTACTTTAAATCTTAAAGCTGAAGATAAAATTAATTACAAAAATACTTCCGGAAGCAAGCCCACTTAAAACAGCTTGAGCAAAATGACTGACTATGGCAGAAAAACTAAATAAAAGTGTGTATGGTCTCTGGGGTGGTCCGGTGTTTTACATTGAGCCCATTAGCTACTAGCAAAATCATTACTGTGATGAGGTAACAGAAGACGTATTGTGTGTTATCAGCAGAAACAGCTGCTCTGCATTCAGACTGAGATGCTTCATTAACCTGAACATGTCTCCTCCAGTCAGGGCCATAAATACAGTCCTATCTAACAACTGCAGTCTCAACCTTTGATTTATGATGCATAAAAGTTATGCTAGCCCATGCAAAACACTACTGCGATGCCACAGTGCTCTGGGTGTTGCTATGTGGTTGCTAGAGTGTACTGGTTTCTTACTACCCCCATGTAAAAAAAAAAAAACATTCCAACATGGCAGTAACGTTATGGAGAAGCACATACCCTCTGCTAAATGTAAATTATTTAACATAATTACTCATAACTGCCAATTTGACATAAAAAGTGTTTAAAGAATAAATTTTTTGAGAAATATTGGTAATTGTCACTTTGCACTTCTAGTTTTGATTAGACTACATCATATCCAGTCAGGTGGTCACATATGGTCTAGAAAAAAATTCAAATATTTAAAATGTATTTGAAGCTCATTTCAATTGGATCCAAAAATTCCACATACGCATATGATCGGAAATACATGTTCGCAAAATGAACAACTTCCTGTCTGTCATGTGTTGAAGATAGTGGAAACATGTCTTAAGCACAATAGTAATAGTAATGCTTGCCTTAGCAACTTCGCAAGCACACATTTTTTCGTTTATTTGTTTGCTCTAATGCTTATTTGTTTATTAACCGACTCTACTGTATTGCTGTCATTCATATGTAGCTGCTTTATGCAAATATGAAGTCATTCTGTTCTAAGGAACAAGCTAGAAAGGGAAGGAATAAATAAAGAGAAAGACAAAGGTTTTTTTTGCATAATGACTATTTTAGTCCTCACTGCAGGACGGGTCACAGCATGAAGCTTTCCAATTTTTAAAAACAAATCAGAGAAACTTTTTGGTGATAAACACTAACAGTACCATTCAGAATTTTGTGGTCGGTAAGATTTTAAAGTCTCTTATACTTAGCCAGGCTGCATGTATTGATGAAAAATACAGTAAGAATTTGTAATAATTCGAACCAAATTGTAATAAAATTTTGAAATATTATTACAATTCAACATAACTGTTTTCTACTGATATATTTTAAAATGCCATTTTTAAAAATCTCTTTAAAATGTTATTTTTGATCAATTTTGTGTGTCATAATGACTATTTTAGTCCTCACTGCAGGACGGGTCACAGCATGAAGCTTTCCAATTTTTAAAAACAAATCAGAGAAACTTTTTGGTGATAAACACTAACAGTACCATTCAGAATTTTGTGGTCGGTAAGATTTTAAAGTCTCTTATACTTAGCCAGGCTGCATGTATTGATGAAAAATACAGTAAGAATTTGTAATAATTCGAACCAAATTGTAATAAAATTTTGAAATATTATTACAATTCAACATAACAGTTTTCTACTGATATATTTTAAAATGCAATTTTTAAAAATCTCTTTAATGTTATTTTTGATCAATTTTGTGTGTCTTTGCTTGAATAAAAGTATTATTTTCTTAAAAATCAAATAAAAAAAGTACATAAGTAACGATCATTCTGTTCTAAGGAACAAGCTAGAAAGGGAAGGAATAAATAAAGAGAAAGACAAAGGTTTTTTTTGCATAATGACTATTTTAGTCCTCACTGCAGGACGGGTCACAGCATGAAGCTTTCCAATTTTTAAAAACAAATCAGAGAAACTTTTTGGTGATAAACACTAACAGTACCATTCAGAATTTTGTGGTCGGTAAGATTTTAAAGTCTCTTATACTTAGCCAGGCTGCATGTATTGATGAAAAATACAGTAAGAATTTGTAATAATTCGAACCAAATTGTAATAAAATTTTGAAATATTATTACAATTCAACATAACTGTTTTCTACTGATATATTTTAAAATGCCATTTTTAAAAATCTCTTTAAATGTTATTTTTGATCAATTTTGTGTGTCTTTGCTGAATAAAAGTATTATTTTCTTAAAAATACAAATAAAAAAAGTACATAAGTAACGATAGCAAAATTAGTAACCATGTACTGTGCACTATGGGATTTAGTTTCATTTATTTGCACGAAGAGGAGGGTGGTGCTATATGTGCAAATGGATTTCATTCAGTTGATTCATTCAGTCTTTCAAAGTATTGATGAACCTATGAGATTAAGGTGGCAAGATGGATGAATAAATGTGTGATGGGTGACTGCTGAATGGTTTGGAGGGCAGATCCACACCCTCACTGCGGTGGCATTATCGGTCTGTAATCCCAGAGTCTACTGCTCCACCCAATCTACACAAAAGCCAATGTGAAGTAATCAATTGCTCTGGCTCTTTCTAAAGCCCTCCACACTTGCATATCAAAGCAGACAGCAGCAGGGTGGAAATGCGCCCCCTTGTTCTCCATTGTGGGTTAAGACCCTGTTTTGTGAGTGTTGAGCCTGGAGCCGTGTGTCTGTTGTCTTTCTTGAAATCCTGTGATCCGTGATGGGGGTTAGGGCAACTTAAAGCAAAATGCGTTCCTCCTACCATCACTTTAGTCTATGGAAAGATTTTGACTGGATTTTTCCCACAACAAGAATGTGCATTTTCCAGTTTCTTTCTGTGACTTTTTACATCTTTTAGTCTATTTCTTTTGTAATAATTTCCTAAATTAAATTTTTAGTTTTTTAAATTTTTAATTACAAACAAACAGTATGTTTCTCATATGTAGCAACTGATGTAAAAATTCTTTGCATATTATTCATCACATTTTGAATATTTTTTTGTTTTTAAAAGAAGTCTTATGCATACCAACTAGTGGTCGACCGATATTGTTTTTTTTTACAGCCAATGCCGATATCTTGGAAAACAGGGTGGCCGATGGCCAATATAAAGCCGATATACATTTTATTTATTTTAATTTATATTCTTACTATAAACACAATATGTATTTTTCAGATCATAACTACTTTAAATTTAAATTTTTGCTTATTTTTTACATGATTGTTGGGGTCCAAAACTCTGACACCACATTTTAAACTACAAAAGGAAGCAGCTGAAAAGTCAGATTTTGTTACCTGACACACAAAATGCTCTTGGGAATTTCATTCTCAAATCCTGCTGATAATATAACAACTTGTAATAAAAAAAAAAAACTGTATTAAATTAGAAAACTGCAAAATTATTTTCACTCATGGTCTCAGAATTTATTTTTGCTTCTGCAGTTTCCCTTCTCACGGTTATCAATAAGGTTTACTCTACTTTTGGTTTTTAAGATGTTCAGCTACACTCGTGAAACAAACATCTGATTTAAATGAAAAGAACCTTTTAATTACCCTCACAAAATCAATGCTGTGACACACATAAAGCTCGGCCAGCTTAGCTTTCACAAACAGGAAGAGATTTTACCACAATGCTAAGCCTTCAGAAAGGCCCTTAACTTGAGTTATAGCTCAAAGCCCAAGCACATGACTCTCTCCACATCAAACTATCCATTGCTGCCCAGTCAATCCTTTGCATAACCCAAATCTCCGACCTCGATTCGCTGGAGATGTATGAACAATTACATAAACGCCTTTCATTCAGAGATCACTGCCCACTAAGTGACCAGGGAGAACACTGGAGGCCGCACAAATTATCTGTCACCGCGTATCCTCAGGGCATCCACATACACACACACACACAAGCCCTGTCACAACAAATGGCTGTCAGACAATGGGACGAGCCATTAGTGCATTCCACCCCCAACCGCTGGCCTGCTTAACATTCCCCGTGAAGGCCCTAGAGGCCTGAGCACCTGTGGGAAAATCTGCTTAGAGAAGCAGCTTTTCCTGGCCGAGCCGCTGCATCTGAAACCTCTTCGGGAAGCACCCTGCCGAGCATCTGCTTGGCTGTACTTCGTCCTTGTAAATAAACTTGCCTAACATTCTCCCGCGGACGCGGAATGAGCCGTGGCATGCCAGCCACACCTGAAGAAAACAATGAGACGCTACTCACATGTCTGTAGCCCAGGGAAATGTCCCCAGACACGTCTCCCGTCACCGCTGCACATCCGGCCGGACAGTACTTCCTACACGGGACGAGAACAAAGAGAAAGATCTGCTTACAGCATGTCAGTTAATTATAGCCGACGGCTCTGGAGAGATAAAGCTGAGTGAGATTCTAAAATTATAAGCATCAATGGAATGAGACATAGTCTGGAAAACTGTGACCATTACCTAGAGTTACTTTTTTTTATTATGTAATGTCTTGTAGCTTGGATATATTTCAACTGAATAGCTGTAGAGAGGTCTGGGCAATACATATTGAATATTCTCAATATATCCACTATGTTTATGTAAATATTCATGTATATTTGTGCTTTTGTGATGATTTAAATGCAATTGTACTATTATTTACCTAAAGAGTGGTTTCACATTCCTCATTCCAATTATACAAAATATTCTAAAATTTAATTCGGATTTATAATCATAAAATTAATAATATTAATAGTAATAATAATTGGGTCAAAGATGAGACGTCCCATTTTGGTGTTTGCATCAAATTACATTTACAAAACTGATTTTACATACATAGAAAGCATATTAAATGCAAATAAATTGTGTACTTTAATGTTTAAATAAAATTAAATAAATTAAATAAAATGTCAAAATATAGGTTAAATAATGTTCCATCGTCATTCAGCGAAACTGATATATTAATGCTAAAATTAAACAACATACTTCATACTTTTTCTAGATCTAAAAATGTTTGTCTTTGACCCATATACACTTTTTTATAAGACTGAAAAAATATGAAGCTTTATCAGCCAGCTTGTGTAAGTGTAACATTTTCCAGGCTTCTCTATCCTGAAGACATACTCTCACCTGTACTTTGACACCGGGAAATGACTGCCTCTGTCCAAGCATGTCAGCAGCTCTGAGGAGGAAAGCAGAGGAGGCCACACAATGAGGGTAAAAACGGAGCAGATGAGAAGTGTCTCCACAAAGGAAACAGGCTCCCAACTCAACAACAAAAACAAAAACAACAGGACATGAGCATCACAACAGGATGACAGACCCACTTCCTGCACTTCCACGTATAGGATTGAAGCATTTACTTAGACATAAACCTCACTCACTCACATGACAAAGTCACAGACAATTACCATATATATATATATATATATGAGAGAGAGAGAGAGAGAGAGAGAGAGAGTGTTCCACAACAATTTTGAATAAGCAAAAGTTTTGGAACTACATGAGGGTAAGTAAATTATGACAATTCTCATTTTTAGATCAACTATCCTTTTAACATTGCTTTGCTCAACCAAGTCATTTAAAAAACATCCCAGGATCTTTAAGCATCCAGATGAGGGAAGGGGGCAAGCCACGGCATGGGGCCATCGTACGTTGGTTAGCATGAGGGTCATCCAAGAGACAGGAAGACACTGGAGTAGTTGAAGCTACTAGGGATGTTCACTTCGGTTATTTTTCCTAACCGACAACCAACGCTTGTTAACCGATTATTAACCGTTAACCGACAAGATTATTTTAAATTAGAATTGATTTCAATTAGAAAGAATACGTGTCTGTGAACCGTTAAAATACTAACATTTGTTTCCCGGGGATTAATTTTACATGCACAAAAAGCAGCAAACAACAGAACATGAGGATACACATGACCATCATATCACATCACGCACCTGCGAGTGGAGAAAAACATCATAAAGCTAGGCTATATATATTAGACAGGTGTGTGGCTTTGCTAATCAAGTCCAATCAGTATAATCACACACAGCTGGACTCAAATGAAGGTGTAGAACCATCTCAAGGATGATCAGAAGAAATGGACAGCACCTGAGTTAAATATATGAGAGTCACAGCAAAGGGTCTGAATACTTAGGACCATGTGATATTTCAGTTTTTCTTTTTTAATAAATCTGCAAAAATGTCAACAATTCTGTGTTTTTCTGTCAATATGGGGTGCTGTGTGTACATTAATGAGGAAAAAAAATTAACTTAAATGATTTTAGCAAATGGCTGCAATATAACAAAGAGTGAACAATTTAAGGGGGTCTGAATACTTTCCGTACCCACTGTATATATAAATAATGTAATAATAATAATTAGGCCTATACGAGAAATATATTTTTACTTAATAAATTAAGAAAACAAAAGAAAAACTGTGCAACAAGTAGCCTAGTATTCAGAGTTTTAGTTCATTTTTGTGTTGCGTGAAAGGAAACCAGACGGCAAAAAGTGGCATCATATTTTTCTTTAGGCTTATTTTACAAAAGCACAAAGATTTGTTTTTATTGTGAATGTACTTATCTTTATGACTAAAAGGAGTAGTTGCTTCCACTGTTAGAAGGAAAAAAAAATTCAAGTGATTGCGCCGGTGCCGCATGCGCGCACACAGTTAAGCTTTGCTACCTTGACAATGCAGCCTGTTAATTATCATAATAAAATACAGTCAGTCAAACATATGGAAAAAAACACACTGCTCAGTTCAAATATGTAGTAAAGTCTGTGCCGTTAAGTGTTATCACTGTACCATCGTGATGTTATGCAAAACATTTTGTTTTACCTGGATACTGGAACGCCAGTACAGTAGCCTAGGCTACATAATAAACAATATTTTGGCATTCAAATACATTCCGAATACGGAAACATTTGATTTTGTGTCAAATGAGAGACCCAACGTTGGTTTCAGTTTCGTTTTAGCCTAAATGAATTCGTTTTGGCTTGTCGTTTATATTGCTATAGCTTCTTATATTTTAAATTCTTGTTCTTTTCTAAATACTGTTAATTGAAAGGCTTTGTTGTGGAGTGAGGGGAACTAAAATAGCCTAGCTATGTTTACAGTGTTTATTATAATGTATAATGTTATAACATTTCGAGTATAAAATGCGACTTATACTCGACTTGCGTTTTTCCCCCCGAAAAAACGAAATTTTTTATATTTTAACCATGAAGCAAACCTTTTTAAATATTTTGATAAATTACTGAAAAAAAATTAATAAATGACCTTTTTAAACCGTTTAACATTGTATTAATCGGTCAAAAATTATTACGGTCAGTTAACGGTTAACCGGTTAAAATGAACATCCCTAGAAGCTACATATATACAATGTTGTGTTAAGATGATTCACACTTTTCATTTTAAAGTAAGGATACCTTTGTGGTTTTCTGTGGAGTATGAAAGCAGGAATCCTCTTCCAGAGATGTGCTGGCTGCTACGAAAGCGGACGGTCAGTTCGCTGGAGTCCGTGTTAATCGGTGCAGGCTTGGGCATCAGACCACCACAGTACTCCCAGGAAACTAGATGAAATGCAAGTGAATTTATTAAACTTAATAAAAATTTAACCCTAGATAAGGAATTAGATTCATATTGATTATTAGTAATATGAATGAAAATGAACATCCACCAAAACTGGGTTCAAAATTAACACCTGCCAAGTGCCAAATAAAAATATAAATAAATGGTGTAGAAGCCATTTATGAAACCAAAAAGGCAGAAATAGTGTGTTTCTGGAAAGTTTATGACTTGTCTGCTGACTGAAGGATAACTCCCCGAACACTGATGAGATTTTGATAAGCTCTGATGATTATCATGACAATTTAATCTGTAAAACATTATGACCGAACGGACCAAAGGGTCAACACACCGAGAGGTGTGAATGACAAAACTGTCAAACTCTGCACCAACACAAAGCTTTAGTCATCCAACGTCTCTCAACTGCTGTTTAAGAATCACTCAGAGAGGAATTCCAGCCATCCTGCTGCAGGACGCTTTGATCAGTGGATGTGGCTGAGGCTCGACACCATAACAGCATTTGTGGTTAAAGGGTTGGCTGGGGAGGAACCAGATATAGTGTGGGAAGATTCATGTCTATCCACAGCAACAATTCTGGCTTCAATACAAACACCCAAAGCTCTGTTCTAACAAAACAACTTTTCAATCCATGCAAGAAAAGTATTCCTCCAATGTTAAAGATCCAAGGATCTACACAAAGGAGGGCAGTTCGTCTTTTCTGACCAGGATGACCAAGAAAGACCTCTGGTTCAGGGCTGAAAGATGATAGCCTAATAAGTCAGAACAGCCCATTCACCTCAAGTGAAGTGCTGCTATATTCTTTTCCTTCACCATTCATCATTCACAAAGCAGTAGGTGGGTACATTCATCACACAGAGATTCAGATGTGACCTGCCGTTCTGTTGGGATTTTGGAGAGAACGGGGACTTTCTCGTAGGGCTGGGCGATTTTTCAGATTTTATCGATTAATTTGAATTTAATGTTTTGCCGCAATTAAATTTTTTAGAAATCAAGAAATCGCGATATTGAATAGAAATATTGCCAAACGTTAAAATTAGACACTTTGACAATATGCCAATGATAACAATAAAGAGAAAACGATCCAACCGCATGTCGGTGCACGTGATTAACCGCACATGTGTGACGCACTCATATCACACAGAATGCGCTAGGGATGGGCGATACCCCTTATTTTGTTTTCGATACGATACCGATATTTTTCAAAGCAGTATCGTCAATATCGATACCGATTCGATACTTCTGCATTTACCTTTTAAATTATGAAATTTATGAAATTATTAAATTACTAAGAGTAAATGGGTAATGAAAACCACTTAACTTTATGTTTAAAACGCATTTTAACCCGTTTTTTTAAGTGTGTCTTAAAATGCTTAAATGCAGTCTTAAAAGTTTTTATATATCTTAGCCCAGCTATTTTAAACTGTTTGATCACATTCTAGGGTTACTATTATTCATAAAAAACCCTTATACAACATTGATAGGAATACTGAGATCAAATACAAAAAAATACAACCATCAACGTATTTCAAAATTGTTACTTTTTTGTAACATATATCCTCACATTTTTATATTAGTGCTATCAGTATTACAACATTAATATTCTAACTTATTTGTAACATTTGAACTTTTGATTTAGTGCAATATTTTGTACTGCCAGTGAATGGCTGTTGCATGCATTAAATGCAACCTTTTTATTCTGACAGTGTATGATTTCTATTAACATTACAGAATAGAACATGATCGATATTATATTTCAACGTACAATTTAAATAATTATAATTGCACAAACTATGTACGCTACAATTTCAATTTGTTTATTGTGAAATAACTCAAACATTTATGTTTTTATTTCTGTCCTCTGATAAGCATTGTTCAGGGCTGCCATTCCCAAAAGCTTTAATGCTTTCTTATGATACTTTTGGGAAACGCAGCCCTGTTTGAATGCACTGTCAGCAGTGAGTGATTCTCTCTGTGATTGATTGGTTCTGTCTTGCAACATTTGCGTGTGTTCAGATGAGCAGGAAAATAGTTCTATCCTACACAATTACTCGCTAACAAAGGTTATTAATCCAATTCAAAGCATATTGTACGCATTATTATTATTATTATTTTTGTTAAATAAACAAAACCACTGGTAAATAAAACGCACCTTAGTATCGATATTTTTTGTTTGAGTATCGATACTTTCGATACTCGCGTCAGTATCGATATATCGATACGCCCATCCCTAGAATGCGCTTTTGTGTTGACAAAGATGCGACGCAGGCAGTGGAACAGGAAAAACATGCAAAGAAGATGGGAGTTGAACTTCTTTTAATTTGAGCGCCGCGTTTTTATAAAGCCGTTTCATGCATGAGACGCTGCAAGAGACGCGAGCGAAAAAACAATGGGAAAGCAGCGCGAGCGAATTAAAAAAAAAAACCTGTTTAGAACTACTACTGCATGTCTGATATTTCATGTGTGCATCATGGTGACAGGCTGAAAGCTGCTGTTCATTGTTTTTACAGAACATTTATAGTTATAGTTAATAGTCTACTGGTGTTATACCTTCAGTCATTTTGAATTACCTTGACTTTTGATATTTTTTAAAGCATTTTCCTTATATTATTTCTTATTAATAGTCTTGTATAAGACAAGTTTGTACAAGATGTAGTTGTAGTTCATGCATTTTTTTCTGCAAAGATATTTAACAAGTGATTTGTTTAACATTTACATCATGTTGACAACTTCATGTGTGGTGCACTTGGAAAGTAATTTTCATTAACTACAGGGATAATAAAGAAGAAGTTACTTGAATAGTGTAGTAGTTACATTTTCAAGTTGACTAATTAAAAATTGTAAAAAATCGAGAATCGGTCAAACGTTTTGAAAAAAAAACGAGATTTAATTTTTTTGCCAACTTGCCCAGCCCTAATTTCTCGTATCTACCAGGGTCTGCCAATGACCAGAAGGAAGCATAATGCTTAAATTAAAAGAACTAATTTTTTAACACTTTAAAGTAACTTAGAATGTTGGAATGGATCAAACAAAAACCAAGACACATTAAAGAGCAGCAAAACAGCATTTATTGTTTGAATTTCTAGACTTTGTTTCATACCAAAAGTAACCTGCTCTGTCTTGTCTGTCAAGTTTCCTCTTTGCTCCGTGATGTATTTTTCACTGAGTGAGCACATGATGTGTAGCGTGAGAGCGCCATGGCTTGTCGGACGTAGTAACAGTAACGAAAGTGGACGAGTCTTTGCGAAGGGTCAATTAAAAAAAGAATACACTTTATGCCAATATAGTGCAAAAACAGCAAGCTCATTTGAAAAGAAAAATAGCAGAAATGGTTGATCACAAGTGACAATATCCTTTAGGAAACAGAATTGGCAACTTTTCACCATAAACTCTGAAACATCCTCTGACTCACTGATTTCTGTGGTTTCCTCCTGCTTTACAGTAAACTTATCGATGTGTGACTGGTGCCGACTCATGACAGCGTTCTGATTTACAGCGCTTTACTCAGGTTTACTCACAGTAATGTGATCTAGAGGAGTTTAAACTGACTAAAGAGCATATGATCAACTATATCACAATACGACTGCACAAGTACAACCAGACTCAAATGAGACTTCTAAATACAGCAGTCTTTCCTACAGCATTCCGGTTCAGCCCCGCACAGCAACAATTTGCTCAACCAATGGTATCAGTTTGGGGCAGGACTGTATCTGTTTTTCCGACCAAAGGAGGTTTGGGAAACCTGTTTGAAAATAATCATTAGGTTTGGTGCCACACTTCAATTTTAAATTAAAATGCAGCTGTCAAAATGTCCTTTACTATAATATTCCTGAGCAGCAAGACAGTTCATCTTCTTGAGAAATGCACTAAAGCTTGAAGAAAACCACTAAGACAAAAACAACTTATTCCATCACATTTTTTTCAATAATCAAACAAGAAAGCCCTGATACACTGACAAAAGATGAAGACATCAAAACAAGAAGCTGTACCACCATTCGCCACTGAGAACATCTGGTTTTCATATATTGTTTGACCCCAATGGAGGATCTAGTGACCACTAGGGAATAACTAGATAATGGCTGAGAAAACAACATTTTATGTAAGCACCATGTACAACACATGAATGATTCAAACAGCTCACCCATTTCTGCCCCATACGATCCTTTCAGAACCTTCAAATAGTCAGACTCACAGTCCTTCTTCTCCATGTTCAGGTCTCCAAACTTGAGGACAATAGTGTGGCCAATGGGTACACGGATTCGCCATTCACACCAGGAGTTGTTGGGGTAAGTTCCTGGGTAGTTCTTGGAGGACAGGACACCACTCTCTTGGCCAAGGACATAATGACCACAACCATCATCTGTAAAAAAAAAACAAAAAAAAAAAACAAGTTTGTTGTAATAAAGAATGCTGAATTCAGACCCAGGAGGAACAAGACTAACACTTAATATTTAGTATGCAAAGTGTTTTTTTTTAATGCTCAAATTAGAGACAATGATTGACTGTGTTTACATGTACAACAGATCAGTATTTAAAAAAAAAACATTACAATTTAAAAGTTTGAGGTCAGAAAGATTTGTATATTAAGAAATTACTTCTAGCAAGGATGCATTAAATTGATCAAAAGTGACAGTAAAGACATTTATAAGGTTACAGAACAATTCATTTCAATTAAATGCTGTTTGTCAGAACTTCCCATTCATCAAAGGATCTTGAAAATGATGCATCATGGTTTCCACAAAAATACTATGCAGCACAACTGTTTTCAACATTGATAATAATAAGAAATGTTTCTTGAGCAGCAAATCAGCATTAGGGCCTTTGACAATATCAAGACGATTATTATTATTATTATCAGGCTAGTATTATTATCTAATTAATATTAGGGCTTATTTGTTTGATCATATTTCTTTTTACAGATTTTTACAGTGTTGCGCATTATAACCATTCACATACAATTCTGTTGAGTTTAAGAATGCAATAGCCAATCAGAGGCGTTCAGATGAGTCATCGCTGAAACAGCAGAGTTTTGTTGTTCAGTGTGCGCGCTGCTGACTTAAAAGGCTTAGCTTAAAAGACTTGGGCTATTTCAAAAACATTAAAATATCACTCACCCAAACCGAAAGTCAAAGAAATCACCTTAAATTAGATAAATTAAAGCTCATTCCTTAATTTTAAAAGACAATATAATATTGATTCAAGCCCCAGACTCATTAAACTCTTGTAACAGCAAGACTCCAAATGAACAAGAATGACTGATTCTGTTGCAACAAAAGATTACATGAAACCAAACAAGCCAATGCACGCCAACCTAATGTAAACCAAATAATATTATATTAGCCAGCAGACAGTTTAATTTACTGAGTGTTTCAACATGTACATGCCCCTAAGACAAGTCAAAACACCAGAAGAAGCCTCTACTTAGATCTAAGTATAAGTTTTGTCATTAAAAGTTGATACAGCACCCTTATTAGAGAAATATAATGTTCCTCACATATGCTCACTGATCAGTGACAAAGGTGGTGTTAGAAACCGTCAGCTGCCAGACACAAGTCTTATGGATGATCCCTGGGCGAAGAGCTCCCACGCTGAGTATTTGAGCATTTGTGCAAGTATTGTCAAGACTGTTACTGTTCACTGATATGTTAAGGCTTCGTTATGCCACTGTCTCCCACAGTAAAGGCACTCACACCTGTGATGGCACCATCAACTCCTTTCCTTCCAGACAGCTGAGTCTCCAGCAGCCACGCAGGAACTTGGCGCTGATGTATGCGCATAACAGACTCTTAGACCCCAGAGTTTCGTGACATCGACGGCATTCTTAAATGACACTAGGAATGAAACGGGACCAATATAAATAGCTCCGGTGTGTTTCTAAGGGAACATTCACCCGCACTAACCAGAAGTGCTTTCTTTGACCTTAGCTGTAATTACGTCAGTGCTAAATACTGGCGGACACACAGTGGCCTTTGTGGTGGCGTCTGAACTCCATCCAGATGTAGGGTTGGGTCGGTGCAAAAAAACTAATGGACGGAAACCTTAGGGCAGGTGGTGGAGGAATGACATCACATGTTAATCATGGCCATGCAAAGAAATTAAAATCTACAACTACACATTTAAGGCAAGACAGCCCAAGTGAACAGGGTAAAAAACATTTTTGCATTACAAGCTTTCTGAAATGTTATGTTTGAGACTATATTAATTAAATATGCACTCATTTTCATATATTTACAGAAAATAAATCTGAACACTGGATAAAGCCAGGTTCAAAATTTGTTTCATTTTGTTGGCATATTAGAGGCAATGGTTTTTACTGAGGCGATATATATCTTTTTATATCTCAGAATCAGAAAATACTGTCATAAGCTAGAAAAATATAAACTTTCACCACGTTTTTAGTTATAAAATGTTAAAAATGAACAAACTGCTCTGTAAAAAACTTCAGAATATAGATAAATATTAAAAATTCTGTCTCAGTGCATGAGAAAAGAGCCCTTAAATATATGTACAGTAATTGGAATATACACAAGCAATCAGATAACGCTCAATAAAACACTTAAGTGTAGTTTGGATGTTTTCTTTAAACTAGTCTGAAACAACACGTCATGAAAAGCCAAATCTCAAAATTGACCAATTCATGAAAAACAATGTTTCAGCCTGTAGTGTTTTGCCTTGAAGAATATTCAAGATTATTTATTAAAAAGGAGTAGACGTCAACAATAACATTTATTTAAAATGACCAAAAGCGGTTTTAGCTCTTTTTTCCATTCATTCCAACAGAGAAGAACACAACAGAGCTTCAAAACCAGCTCTTTCGGCATGTTAAGGAACACCTGGCCATCGTCTGCCCCAGGGTGGAAGACAAATATTCACAACAGAGAGAGTTCTGCATGTACAGACAATTCGACTGTCTCCTAACATGCACCAAATAAGGGTTCACACACTAGTTGAGGATATTCTATTTAGCCTGTGATTTTGCAGCAATGCTGTAGAACAACTCCAAAGAAACTTTCAGTGAACAGTTCTTAAAAGAACCATTTTTTTTCTTATGTGAAGAGCATTTTATAAATCTAAACACCTTTTTCACTATAAAGAACCTTTTGTGCAATGGAAAGCTTCCATTGATGTTAAACGCTCTTCATGGAACCATTGATGCCAATAAAGAACCTTTATATTTAAGTGTACAATCAAAAACATGATGCTTGGCAAGAATACTGCCAGTATTTATGTTTAAGCAATAGTTCTAGGATAACTTACTTTAATACAAAAATAAATAACACGTCAAGGGGAGTGATACCATACAGTAAAGAAGTACTCTTATCTATCTAATTAGACCTTGTGCGTACTAGAGTTTTCAAGATTAAAACAAAATTCAAAAAGGTAACATAAAAGTGGACTGCTTTAGTGAGTGAACTAAATCATTAAGCATTCCTGCAGCTTAAACAGTAGAGCAATGCCAATGTCATGGGTTTGATTCCAATAAGATTTATACCTTTAAAAGGAATATTCACAAAAAAAGAAAAAAAAAGAAAAATCTCTCATCGTTTGCTCACCGTCATGTCGTTTCAAACTCTTAAGAATTTCATTCATCTTAGAAACTAGGGCTGGGTATCGTTCAAAATTTTTCGATATCGATACCGGTTCCTGAACGATACTTTTTTCGATACCAATTTTATGATATAAATGATCGCAGCTCCCGCGCTACTCTATACTGGTGGTATTACAGTACCACGAGAGCTAAAGAGAGCAGACTGCTCCGTGCGCTTTCGAATCGCTCTCGCGGATGATCGATCTGCGCCGCACCTCTTCTAGTCGAACACACCGGCAAGTGCTGCAGACTTATTGGCTCACTGACACTGATGAGATTAACCCCTTAGGTAGGGATGCACGATATATCGGCCACCATATCGGTATCGGCCCATATCGGCTCATTTTTTCTGTTATCGGTATCGGCCTGATAAGAAAATTTGGCCGATATCTTAAAGCCGATAAATAATGCATTATTTCCTTCAGAGACACTTCAGATGCGCGCTGTTCGTTTGCAGCCTTTTGTGCAATTGTACATTGTAATATTGTGTTTATTTGATGTATATCTGATTTATCTCATATAGAATGCGTTTGGTTAAGTTTAAAGAGCGCTTCAGTTTACCGGTGATCGTCTTTAGCTCAGCGCACGCAGCTCAAACAGCAGTGCACAACATTAATAACTATGATTGGGAATGTTGTGTATATAACATTCTAATGAGAACATTATTATAATAAAACGTTGTGCATTCTTTGGGTTTAGTTGCTGTGTTTCAGCGCGTTGTTATGGGAAGAGCGCATCCACAACAGGATCACACATTCTGACTATAGCATGCAATAACTGCGTCATTTTGTACATATATAAGTTGTAATATTATGTTTATGTTGTATTAATATTAATCTCAGGATGCATTTCCTTGAGTTAAATAAGCTGCCAGCAAAACGCTTCAGTTTACCGTGTTCATTCAGCTCTTCAGCTTCAGCACGCGCAGCTCAACGGCTGCTATTTAAAACAGTGGGATTAATTTGTTACTTTTTCACAATCATTGATATATTATTAATAACAACAACCACTTGTATTTTTCTCTTATTATTTTCATCAACAATATGGTTTAGTAATTAAAATCATTTAATTATTGTCCGTGCAGAGGCTATTCTGTTTTATTGATCTGTGGCGCATTCATTTTGATTCTTTACACGTGTAATGATGTCCAGTGACTTGTTTGCATTATTTATGCATAATTTTATTTATTTGTAAGACTTTTTTATGACTAAATTTGGTAATGGGAGAGTAAAAATATTTTTAAAACGTACACCGTTCAAACTAGGCTGCTTATGTTGAAGTGTTTGGGATGTGGCTTTTAATGATGAGACCTTTTTTTGTAATCAGGCTCTCAAAAAGTATCTAACAATTTGGATATAGATTTATCGGCCAACATATCGGTTATCGGCTTTCAAAAGTAAAGAATAATCGGTTATCGGTATCGGCCAAAATTTTCATATCGGTGCATCCCTACCCTTAGGTATCGAAATTTGGTACCGAACGACGAGACGTTTTCCGATACTCGATGGTATCGAGGCAATTCGGTCGGTGCCTAAAAAGCATCAAACTCGATACCCAGCCCTATTAGAAACACAAAGATATTTTTAATGAAACCTGAGAGGTTTCTGTCCCTCCACTTAAAGTCAAGGTAACCAAACTTTAAAAGATTCAATAAGGTTATAAATCTGTTCATCACATTAAGGAATTGTAACTCGAATCAAAGTGCTCAATACATGTCGAATCATTTTATGATGCTATTTTAACCTTTTCCAGATCTTTTAAGTTTTTGCAACCTTGTCTTTCAATGGAAGTACAAATTCTATGAAACCTCTCAGGTTTCATTAAACATCTATGTTTCGAAGATGAACCAAAGTCTTATGGGTTCGGAACGTCATATGGATAAGTAAATCATAACTTTATTTTGGGGTGAACTAACCCTTTAAATGAGAGCTTCTGCCAAATGCATGAAGATAAATCAACCAATTCATTGGAAAGATCAGACTCCGAATGATTCATTCCCAAATCAGACATACCTGCTTCTCTCATGAAACTGCCACGGAGAGCTAGTGCAGATGTCAAGGTGTTCAGTGACAAATTATTTATATTTCGGTCTGTTTAAGTAATATATGATTTAAAAAAAAAACGTGGAATATAGTGCACGAGTCATATGGATACTTTTATATGTTGCTTCAAAGCTTGAAAACCTCAATCAACCAGTAAAACTCTTCAAAATGTCTCTATTTGTGAACCACGAAAGAAAGTAATAAAGGTTCTGAGAGTAAATACCAGCATTTTCACTTTTGGCTGTACTATTCCTTTAAAAATGAAAGGTTTCTCCAGTTGTTTTGTCTCAGTGTGTGCACAGTAAGCTACTTTGGATAAGGTCATATGCAGAATAATAAAAATATCCCAGCAGTAGACTTGTGCCGGTATTCGGTAATGCGATATATCACGGTAATGAATATGCACGATATTGTTATCGTGGGCTCTTCTAAATACCGTGAACAATTATATATTACAAGTTATTCAGAATTTTGAATGCATTTTAAGAATACTTTTCCCATCAACTGGTCAAAATGCACAACACGCTGTATGCTGCGTGAAAGACGCGTGCGCACTGATGTAAATAAGCGCGGACGAGAAGCAAATGGCGGAACATGTGAGAGATGCTCTGGATGAAAGCGCACTTTCACTCTCTGACAGCAGATGGCGCTAAACTGCAGAAATAATAATAATAATAATAATTCATTTAAATGAAACCCTGTAAACAAAGCAGCTGCTCTACTTTCTGTTTCTGAATCGTGTTTAAATGATTTAAACAGCCATTCAGATTTGTGTATTTGCTATGATGTTCATCACAGCGCCGAATACTTAAATATTTAGACTTAATAGGCTATTTATTTTCAATTTTTTTTTTACATTTGAATCTGGACTACAACATGCCCTAGATATTGTTTGAAAGTGTTTTGATTCTTTATTGTTCGGTCACACTTTACATTAGGGCTTCATTAGTTAACTCATTAGTTAACAAACTGCCAATAAAAAATTCTTCTTAACATTAATTAATCTTAGGTATTCCCATATTTAATAACACGTTGTTAAAATCGAAAGTTGCAACTGTGTTATTTAATGAGCTAACATGAACTAAGACTTAATAACTTCTGTAGCAATTGCTCATTGTGAATGTTAATGCATTAAGGTTAACTAATGAGGTCTTATTGTAAAGGGATACCTATTGGTCTTTATAGTTATTTTGCACTTTAATCTGTGTAAAACTTTTAACTTGATACACTTTTCTGTATTGCTTTATTGCATTTAAATGTTCAGTTATTTTTGTGATAAGAAAAAAGTTATTAAACCTGTTATACTGTATTATGACAGCACTTTTTTTTTAAACTACATTTCAATACCGTGATAATACCGTGATAAAAGCATTAGCAATTAATCGCAAAATGAAAATTTGATACCGGCATATCCCTCCCTACCCAGTAGTAAAAAAAAGACCTCAGTGCAGCAATGAAATCCCAAAAGTTATGGGTTTCCAGATGCTGCTTTGACCATCCAGACACTCTGACTGCAATCCTGTCCCATTGTGAGAGTGATTTGAGGTGAAAGTTGTCCTCATGGACAGACCGCGCCAGCATGTTGTGTCAACTGCTGTTACAACACAGTCAGCACATTTTCTAATGACACCAAATATCTTACCTATAGGTATAAGGATATCAACTTTTTAGGTATTAAATCTTCAGGTTTACGAGTTGGAAGCAATTCTACAGTTTCATGGAGAAACATGCAACACGACACTGCTCCTGAACACACATTCTAAGACAGCATGTACGCGAAACAACCATATGTCCCGGTTTAAACTGTAACCCAAGACTATTTCTACAATGATAAGTCAAACTCACAGAGCTCAAGCGTTTACAGGATCAATCTGGAGCTCGTGTAACAAAGTTTGAAACCTTATATCCCCTCAGAACAAGCTGTGCGTTCACTTATAATGATATAAAAGCACGCTACACGCAAACAACTGTTACACAAAGTCCTCCACAAGTACCCTCTGACGCCTCAGCAAACTGCCCCTTTTGTTTCCGATCACTTACCCGGTTTTTCGGCGAGCGCGAGCGGGTGAATTGAATATAAGAGAACCAGTCCATGCAGTAATGTGTTTCCAGACATCTCCACTAAAAACCGCGGCGAATGAGAGTAAACCGCGAGGGCGCATTTGGATCAATCTGGAGCTCGTGTAACAAAGTTTGAAACCTTATATCCCCTCAGAACAAGCTGTGCGTTCACTTATAATGATATAAAAGCACGCTACACGCAAACAACTGTTACACAAAGTCCTCCACAAGTACCCTCTGACGCCTCAGCAAACTGCCCCTTTTGTTTCCGATCATCTGCCGTGTTTTCGTTCACTTACCCGGTTTTTCGGCGAGCGCGAGCGGGTGAATTGAATATAAGAGAACCAGTCCATGCAGTAATGTGTTTCCAGACATCTCCACTAAAAACCGCGGCGAATGAGAGTAAACCGCGAGGGCGCATTGGAGAAGCGTCACGGGAGCATGTTTACCGGGAGAAACTCGTGGACGTGTGTCCGCGCGGATCCCCAAACGCTTTGAATGAACTCTTCTTCCGTGTTTCTCCCACAGGCGGCACCAAGCGCTCACCAGACCAGTCTCGCGGCTCTGTCTTGTGTCAGGCGGTTAGTATAGTAGCCTAGTATAGATACGGAGTATGGATACAAAGTGATACTTAAAGGAGATATACTGTGTAAGCGATACATAAACGGCATTTCTCCAACTTCAGGCACTTTTATGTCTCAAGACTCGATATTTTAATTACACTACAATTAAAAAAAAAAATATATATATATTATTATATGTTTTTTTTGTGTGCTATTTTTCAAATGTTTTAACCTTGTCCCCCAGACCCAGAATTTTAATCGTAAAATACGAAATTTGTAACAAATTTTACATTAACAAAATCAATGATCTAAACTATAAGAAATATATATATATATGTGTGTGTGTGTGTGTGTGTTTTATTTTATTAAACACTTGCTTACAGAATACAAAAGTGAAGAAACATATGCTAAGGAAAAGAGCCAGGGGTTCAAGGATGGCAAAACAACACATAGAAATTAAAATTCAGAAGAGAGAAATAATAATAATAACAAAAAGCAATTACATAAAAAATAAATAAATGAGTGAAAAAAATTTAAACAGATCACATAGCAATAAACAAAACAATCTTTCCTACAAAACATAAAAATTATACAAAAATACCAAAAGGTGAGCATACACTTAAAGTTTTAGCTGCCTTTTTGTTACAGGAAGTAGACAAGGATTTAATATAGATCTGGATATTTTCTTGAAAGTGAGAAAAATGGGGGAACTATACGAAATATTACATCAAAGTTTTGACGTCGTTTCCACCACAACCAACAATTCAGATATTAGTGTACTTGCACTAAGAAAGTGTGCATACTTGAGATGAGGCGACGTAGCCTGTGTTAATGGAGAAAACAAAGACAAATCAAGGTAAATAATATCTTTTTTATTGTGTGTCGCCTCCAAATCGAACTTTAATTTGGTCAGATAAAGCAACTGATGTCAAATAAGTGTGGAAATGTGATTTAATTGTGTGTAAGGGGTTCAAGGATGGCAAAACAACACATAGAAATTAAAATTCAGAAGAGAGAAATAATAATAATAACAAAAAGCAATTACATAAAAAATAAATAAATGAGTGAAAAAAATTCAAACAGATCACATAGCAATAAACAAAACAATCTTTCCTACAAAACATAAAAATTATACAAAAATACCAAAAGGTGAGCATACACTTAAAGTTTTAGCTGCCTTTTTGTTACAGGAAGTAGACAAGGATTTAATATAGATCTGGATATTTTCTTGAAAGTGAGAAAAATGGGGGAACTATGCGAAATATTACATCAAAGTTTTGACGTCGTTTCCACCACAACCAACAATTCAGATATTAGTGTACTTACACTAAGAAAGTGTGCATACTTGAGATGAGGCGACGTAGCCTGTGTTAATGGAGAAAACAAAGACAAATCAAGGTAAATAATATCTTTTTTATTGTGTGTCGCCTCCAAATCGAACTTTAATTTGGTCAGATAAAGCAACTGATGTCAAATAAGTGTGGAAATGTGATTTAATTGTGTGTATTTAGAATAGGGGAGTAACGCAAAAGTAAAGTAACGCGGGGTTAGTTGTAACACAGATGGTTTGAATATTTCCACACACGCTAGCATAACCAAATTTACAGTATTTATTAGTTACCATATCAACATTATATAGTAAAAAAAAGTGTGCCAAAATTCTAAAATCTTTTGAAGATATCAATGAACATTTATTTTACCATAGTAAAATTACAATTCTGGCTTAAGTAATTTTTTCATCTCTGTTTTTATTAATAGTTTAAAATGAGACAAATCTGCTATTATTTTAATCTCCAATCTGTTATTTATCAGTTTAGATCGTTTTTTTAGGTGAATAAAGACGGACAGCCAATGTTTAATGTTTAGAAATTATTATTTCAAGACATGTAAGCATTTTTGCTCGTTTATGTGGGCCGTCCCAAGCATGGTTGCAATGTGTTCGTTGTCAAACTCCAAAATCAGATTATTTTTCATTCTTTAAAAAACGCCATTATTTTATTTGAAAAAAAAATAATTATTTTATTTTATTAACAAAATATTTGAGCTTGTCTTGTATATTTTTTTCATTCGATCAGATAAGATTTTAAGCTGTTATATGGTCATGTTACAACGTGTCCCTCAGATGTTACAATGTGTTCCACCTACGGGGCATGTTGTCACATTTCACTTCCATTTTTTGAGGGTAAATAAAGAAAAACTTATACTCTGTAATCATGAAACAAAGTGACATATTTGTACTAGACAAGTGTAAAATGACTGTGGATGAAAAAAATGATATTCTGAACACAAACTGAGAAAGTCAAAAAGTATTACTTTGTGCCCCGCTCTCCCCTACATACAATTTTAACTATGAAATTAGCCTTAGCCAGACAAAACGGACGTTTTATTTAGAAAATGTTAAAATGTCATTTGCAACAAGGAATGCTTAAGATGAATTGAAATATGGTTCTTGACTTGGTTCAATAACAGTTTTCCTGTGGTGGGTGTATACAGTTTTAGACATTGTTAGAGGGCAAATAAACGAGAGAGAGAGAGTCTGAAAAGCACGTTTTAGGAAAACTTCTAAACAGTCGTCTGAATAAAAGCGTTATATGCTGTAATGCCAGGCAGTGACCGGTGGATTTCCAGTAACATATGTGACCCTGGACCACAAAACCAGTCACAAGTGTCAATTTTTAAAGTGTCAATTAAAAAATTGAGATGAAGCTGAATAAATAAGCTTTCCATTGATGTATGGTTTGTTAGGATAGGACAATATTTGGCCGAGATACAACTATTTGAAAATCTGGAATCTGAGGGTGCAAAAAAAAAAAATCTAAATATTGAGAAAATCGCCTTTAAAGTTGTCCAAATGAAGTTCTTAGTAATGCATATTACTAATCAAAAATGTTTGATATGTTTACGGTAGGAAATTGACAAAATATCTTCATGGAACATGATCTTTACTTAACATCCTAATGATTTTTGGCATAAAAGAAAAATCTATAATTTTGACCCATACAATGTATTTTTGGCTATTGCTACAATTATACCCCAGCGACTTGAGACTGCTTTTGTGCTCCAGGGTCACATATGGCCATTGATAGACTCCACAGCATATGACACATCATCTGTGCCAGGAGAGCACAGGCCTGTCTTTAACATCCTGGGCCATTACGTTTTATTACTGTCATTATGAAAAACCCTGCAGACAGTCACTGTGCAAAGATCAGATTAATGATAAAGTAGTAAAAAACATGAACTTTTTGCATGTTTTTGCTTTTGCATTTGATATAGCACAGCAAATGCTATTGTAAATATACAAGCATATGTGCAAAATGTGTGTGTCTGTGTGTGTGTGTGTGTGTGTGGCCTTGTACTTTCATTTTTATTTCTGCAGCCTTTGGACTTATAAAGCTATTGCGCTCTCTGCTGGAGAGATATCAGTCTACACACAGTCTACAGGTCAGTACAATTATTTCATTTCATTTTGCAATTATGTTTTATTTTCAATCCAATAAATAAATAAATGCAGCATTATCTTCTCATTACCAGATTATATGTGATTACAGTATAATAAGGGTCATCCTTTAATAAAAATATTCAATTATAGCCTACTGTATGCGTACAGTTCGTGATGTGTTAATAACAAAGAGTCACTGCTCCCAATGCTGCAGTCAGGGCCGTTTCTAGGCATAGGCGAGCTAGGCGCCACCAGCTGAAGGGGCGCCAATGAGAGCACGTACTGGCACTTTTAGCAGGGTTGTTATAAAGAGTGGCACAGTCACCCTGAAATATGACTGCCGCCCCCACTGGATCCCCCAACATTATTGGGCTAGAGTACTGTCAATCTGACGATGCCTGTATGCCACTAGATCAGAGTGCTGTCAATTGCTGCCTGATTGTTGCATGCAAAGTTTGCATTTGGAGCGCTCAACAACGCCATTAGATCAGTGGGCTCTGTCAGTGCTTTGGCAAGGTAACTCTTTTTTTTGCCATGCAATAAAGCTAAGTTCAAAGGCCAATTTAAAATATTGGTACAGTAAATAAAGTGCACAAAATCAGTATTTTGTTTAGGCAGTATTTGTGGCACTTTTGTGGCACATTTGTCCAAATATTTGTGGCAGATTTGTCCAAAAGCTGTGCGTTTTTTTGTGCCAATGCATTGTTAAAGGATCAGCGTGTCATGTAATATTCCCATATAATCTTTAACATCCAGTGAAAAAATATTTGTATAGTAAAATTCACTAATTCATGAGATCAATAGATCCTTTATTAGACCGCTTTGTCGAGTTAAATGCATCCTTACGGAGGTGTCGAAATGCTGAATCAATTCATTCACTTCCAACAGCGCTTAATGGGAGCAGCGTCATAGAGGTCAGAGCGTCACGTTATTTAAAGGGACGTTAATGCATTAACGAGTAGCAAATGTTTAAGTAGCTGCATTGGTTACTTTTATTCCACTGATGAAGCTTTTATATGTAGTTTGGGGTAACAAAGGGGTTTTATAGGTTTGACTGAAATAATAATGCAATAACTGACACTTTAAATC